AAACAACTACTAACTCAGTGTTCTAACATCCGCAAACGGCAGCTCCTATCACAGCTAGAAATTGATGAGGTACAACTGACATGTTGCGGCAAGGGGGAGTCAGGACAACAGGTCAGTAGGGAGATAACAGCATCCCAACACAGAGAGATTGGGTCCCCAGCCCCAACAACAACAAGCCCACTAAACGTAAGGGCGGCTGACCTACGACAGCAGATCATAACCAAACTGGATCCCCTAGTACGACGAGCAAGACTGCCAAGGCTAAGTGACAGAGTACCCTCTGAAAGACTTCTAGAAGGTGTAAATGCAGCGCTACATACTATCCCTACTAAAGACATAACTGAGACCAACGAGCTGACCTATGCTACAGCTACAGTGATCCTAGAGATGCTTGGCTATAAGATAAACACCACAGGCCATGGAGGAGAAGGCTGGAAGCCAAGATCAAGGCAACACCGAGAGAGGTTAGTCAGCTCTCAGACCTGCAGAAAGGTTTAGGGGAGAGGTTACCTAAGTACAACAAGCTGTCGATCCCTGAGGCTCTAGAAACTGCCAAACAAAGATTCGCCGCCCTGGCCACCCGCCTAAAGAGATACAAGGGAGAAGCAGAAGTCCGGAGAATAAACCAGGTGTTCTCCACCAACCCATCCAAATCACAGTGGCAGGGTAATTCAAGATCAGATCCACCCAGGGCTGAGACTGAACAGTACTGGAGAAACGTATGGGAGAAGGAGGTATACCACAACACCAATGCTCAGTGGCTAGAAGGTCTAAGAACAGATCACAGCAATCTCCCAGAACAAGAACCAGAAACCGTTACAATGGCAGATGTCCAAGAAAGAGCGGCAGGTATGAAGAGCTGGACAGCACCAGGCCCTGACATTATTATGGCAGCTCCAACAACCATTATCAACATTGACAAAGAAGCAACTACTAACGCAGTGTTCTAACATCTGCAAACGGCAGCTCCTATCACAGCTAGAAATTGATGAGGTACAACTGACATGCTGCGGCAAGGGGGAGTCAGGACAACAGGTCAGTAGGGAGATATCAGCATCCCAACACACAGAGATTGGGTCCCCAGCCCCAACAACAACAAGCCCACTAAACGTAAGGGCAGCTGACCTACGACAGCAGATCATAACCAAACTGGATCCCCTAGTACGACGACCAAGACTGCCAAGGCTAAGTGACAGAGTACCCTCTGAAAGTCTTCTAGAAGGTGTAAATGCAGCGCTACATACTATCCCTACTAAAGAAATAACTGAGACCAACGAGCTGACCTACGCCACAGCTACAGTGNCGTTGAGCTGCCATGAAAAGACTGAACAGCTGAAAAAAAATCTGACTAAAGAGAGAAACAGAGCAAAAGAGGCTGAGGAGAGCTTGTCTAAGCAAGAGCAGGAACCTTTTAAATAAATGCTGCTTTGTTCAAACTGCAGCAACACGTGGAGAACCAAAGACTGTTCTGGAGCAAAGAGAAAGCCAGTCTGCTGACAGAGCACGACAATAAAGATTGTCGTTAAACTTTTTATTTTTATTTTTATTTTTTATAGTGTCCTGTCTGGCAATGTGGCAATAAGAATAATTGTCGTTAAACTTTAACGACAATCCTCCTCTTTAACGACAGACCTTGAGAATCATAGACAGGTTTCAGATATTACACTCTAACAATGGAACCAAACGACCCACTCATCGGTTTCTATTTGCATGTTTCCAAGCAATACAAGGCCTTGTCTCTATAAAGACACAAACTCACTGCAGATCCAGACCTTTGAATTGAGAAAGCTTCCTGGAGAGGTAGCGAAAAGTCTTCAAACATTGGAAACCAAGTCCAGTGGATGTTTTTTAAAAACTTTTTTAAACTTCATGGAGTGACTATGACCTGGATGACTGAGAATCTTCATCAGCTTACCACCCCTTTTTTATTTCTCTCAATTGATTTAATAATAAAAATACAATAATAATCAATTGTATTTGTAGAAAAAAATTACATTTAAGAAAAAAATTCTAAGTGTTACATGTAAAATCATCATAGAAGGGTAAAATCAAAATTTAAAACTAAAAATCGCTTTTAAACACATAAAATCAATAGCATAATTGTAAAATGTTAACAGTCATACGTCCTGCTAAAAAGATGTTTCTAATTCTTTTTTAAAAGAACAAAGTTTTGAAATATTTCTTAGAAGATAGAAGGAGATTTTGCAGAGGTGTTTGATATGGGGTTCAAAGGTAGTTGTGGATCAAATCTTACACTGAGATTGGTGGCTGTTGTGAAGAGAGGAATTTCCTGGCCATATTATTGTTTCTATACAATTTCTTCTTATTCTACTCTATTTTTACTCTGGGTTATATCCATCTCCTGACTGACGCCAGACGGGGCGTGACTACAAGGGGTGGGTGATGATAATTCTATTATCTATCCCAGAATCTGTATTACACAATAAAATAAACCCTGCTTAAAAAAGACATGAAGGAGGAGAGGGAAACTTCAACAGAGAGTCTGATGGAAAAACTGGAGGATCTGCAGCATCAGACGGAGAAAGAGCAACAGAGAAAAGCCAAAAAGAAAACCCTCAGGAAAAAGAGGAAGTTTTTTAAACGCTTTAAAAAGGCTCCACCTCAGTCAGAAAACTGAGCTCTACTAAACCTCATGAAAGCCTCCTCCAACCCAACCATCCGACTTTAATAGTGTATTGATTCATGGCGTTAAGTTTGATTAATTTACAGCTATTAGATTTTAGTTAAAAACCCATATTATTTTCTAAAATGAATAGAATTTAATGTTTTAGTTCTTTTCTTCTGGTGTTGAAGCGTTTAACAGGAGTGATGTGAGAGTGTGGCTATGGAGGTGGGCTGATAGGGGTGTGCTTTGTTAAAGCCGTTTTGCAGTGTGGAGACTTTAATCTGCAGTTTTATGTTAAAAAATATCAGTCTGAAATATGACAACTTAATTCGTCTTAATGAAGCAACAAAAGCTATTGTACTATAAACAACTTAGCGGGATGTTTCATTTTTATACAAACTAAAACCTCTTTTGAACATTGGAAGATAACTCTGAATAATTTTAATTCTACCATTAAACTAAATAATATTGACGAATAAATAATAAGCTACAGATTGATCAGTAAATAGAAAAGTTTTAACTCCTTTGTTGATATGAATAAAAAAATAAACTGGACCCAAATTAAAGTACATTTACAATATCTGTAATCTCTATAGAAAAAGCACACAATAAAAAACATTATTGGTTTATGATTAAACAACAAGGAACCCACAGGAAATTCCTGTGAAAAACATAAATATTTCATTAATCAGTCAAATAAATCCACACAACCAAGCAGTTTTTTTTTTTAGGTCTGAATAACGTGCCACAGTACAGATCCCTGATCAGGAACATGAGCTCCATAGTTTCCTAAAGTTCTCTACATTCAGAGGAAACCTAAAATTAGTACCAGAAATATGGAGTTAAAAAGTAAACCAGCAAAGCAAACTCCAAGAAATATTAAAACGCTGAGAATAAGTGACTGGTATAAAACCTCATTATGTAGAGAACAGCTAACCATTAAACAATTCAATTTTTTCACAGATTAACTAAAAGGAAGTAAAAAAGCTCCTCTTTTCCAGATTATTTAGTGGATGACAGAAAAAAACTGTTATCAGATCAGTTTTTTTGTGGGACATCCAGCTGTAAACAGATTAAACTGGTTTAAACAACGTCTCTGGCTCAGTCCCAATACCTCCAATTGTTGCTCCTACCTCCTGTTCCTAGCTCCCATCCCTTCACCTTTCATGGGGTCAACAGTAAGAACCAGGGTTTAATGTGTAGCGTTACAGATGTCATTAAGCAGCAGACACACACATGAATGATGCTGTTCAAACTGGGATTACAGCCTTCTGGGAAAGGACTACAAAAAAACAAAGTTTCATAAAAGTAACAAATGGCTGAATCTCTGTGTTATAAAACCCCCAATATATGAAGGTGTGAACATTAGCATGTGTCACAGAGTAGAATGAAGAAGTAATGGATTTTTGTTAAACTCTGTGATGTGGGCTGTGCCTACACATCCTGTCATGCAAAGGATCATGGGAAACCATGTAGCTCCTAGAGGTGGCTAGGAACACCAGGAGGTCCCTGCACTAAATGTACTGGTGACAGGAAGCATCCTGCTTCCTCTTCCTAGCTCCTTCCTTCCTGCCAGGACTATTCAGACAGCACTTATCATGGTGACCACTGACAGACTTCAGCCGTGGCTTTAGTGTCCTTATAGATCTGAGGAGTCTCTATTGCAGTGGTCTGAAACTCCAATCTTCAAAGGTCGACACACCTGAACTAAAGAGCTAAACTGCCTCAGCAGCAGCAGCCAAGCTTTACAGAGCTCTGCTAATGAGCTCATTCTGGAGTCAGGTATGTTGAATCAAAGATGCATCTAAAAGTTTTAGGACAGCAGCCCTGGAGGACTGGTGTTAGACCTAGGTGTGGGCTTCGTCTGGGGTGGGGGTTCTGCATGGTTTGTGCGTTTTTTTGTTGTTTTTTTTCTCTTGGAAAGCCAGGAGGTATGGTGGACGGGATGGGTTGATGGTGGAGTTGGCCTTGTTGTCCAGATGGCTCGCGGACCCTGCCGCCTATCCTTGGCTCCCAGGGTATGCTGGTGTGACTAACGGGGACCCCTCTCCGGGTGGGCTCTCAGGGATCAGGGGTGCCTATTGAAGTCAGCGGGGGGCTGCCTCGCTGGGAGTGCAGTGAACCCCCAGTCCTTTTCTTCCCATCCCCAGAATCCTCCCTCTGCCTGCTCCATCGCCTTGCCACACATATAAGATCTTCACGCCTTCTCACCTTAGACTGTATATATATATATATATATATATATATATATATATATATATAGGTTCGATTCCCGGTATGGACATCCATGTGGACCCTCAGGCAAGGTCCTTTTTGCTTAGTGGCCTACCTCAGGCATGAGTGAAACCGCAAATACAAGAGCCATCCCGGCTCGGACGTCGCCCGGGTTAACAAGGTCCGCGTCAGTTGCTAGGGAACCAGGGCAACTTGACAAATTGGCTACTGGAACAAGACATAGATGGACTAGAGCAGAAAACTTGGAACTGATGAAATGCTACCATACAAGCATCCCCAGT